GGGGGGGGGGGGGGGGGGGGGGGGGGGGGGGGGGGGGGGGGGGGGTTCTAAGAAAGTGTGACAATGTGTGGAACGGATGGGGGAGCGGGTTAGATCATATGTGACGTCACACATTTATATTTTTTATCATACATATAAAAGCTGAAACTGACAGTGATGTTTAACACTGTGTTTTCTGGAAGTATTCTGACAGAAGATGTCACTGTGTAGTGTTTGATTGGAATAGTGAAGTTTGTTTTAGTTGTTAATTTGAAACATTTTTTTTTTCATTTTGGAAGTGTGACGTACTTGGGGGGGGGGGTGTCCTAGAATTGTGACAGTTTGTGACGGGGAAAGGGGGGGGGATAAAAACTGTCCACCATAGTACGACTATTGGGACTACCCCTAGCGGACACGGGTTTGTTTGGGAAGAGGAACAATTCTTAGAAACAAAGTGACTGGCGATTCTTATGCATTTTTGTCTTTCTCTTTCAAATGGGTAACAGAAAGATAGACATTTCAGTAGCTAATAGTTGAACTGACGACATTTGTAAGAGAGACATTTCTGTAATTTATAGATAGACATTTAAGTAGCTTATATTTTGAACTGACGACATTTGTTAGATGGACATTTCATTAACTTATATTTGAACTGACGACATTTGTAAGATAGACATTTCAGTTACTTATAATTTGAACTGACGACATTTGTAAGATAGACATTTCAGTTACTTATAATTTGAACTGACGACATTTGTAAGATGGACATTTCAGTAATTTATATTTGAACTGACAACATTTGTAAGATAGACACTTCAGTAACTTATACTTGAACTGACGACATTTGTAAGATAGACATTTCAGTAATTTATATTTCAACTGACGACATTTGTAAGATAGACACTTAAGTAACTTATATTTGAACTGACCAAATTAGTAAGATAGACATTTGAGTAACTTATATTTGAACTGACCAAATTAGTAAGATAGACATTTCAGTAACTTATATTTGAACTGACCAAATTTGTAAGATAGACATTTGAGTAACTTATATTTGAACTGACCAAATTAGTAAGATAGACATTTCAGTAACTTATATTTGAACTGACCAAATTAGTATAAGAGACATAATTTGAGTAACTTATATTTGAACTGACCAAATTTGTAAGATAGACATTTGAGTAACTTATATTTGAACTGACGACATTTGCAAGATAGACATTTGAGTAAGTTATATTTGAACTGACCAAATTTGTAAGATAGACATTTGAGTAACTTATATTTGAACTGACCAAATTTGTAAGATAGACATTTGAGTAACTTATATTTGAACTGACCAAATTTGTAGGATAGACATTTGAGTAACTTATATTTGAACTGACCAAATTAGTAAGATAGACATTTGAGTAACTTATATTTGAACTGACCAAATTTGTAAGATAGACATTTGAGTAACTTATATTTGAACTGACCAAATTAGTAACATAGACTATTCAGTAACTTATATTTGAACTGACCAAATTAGTAAGATAGACATTTCAGTAACTTATATTTGAACTGACCAAATTTGTAAGATAGACATTTGAGTAACTTATATTTGAACTGACCAAATTTTTAAGATAGACATTTGAGTAACTTATATTTGAACTGACGACATTTGCAAGATAGACATTTGAGTAAGTTATATTTGAACTGACCAAATTTGTAAGATAGACATTTGAGTAACTTATATTTGAACTGACCAAATTTGTAAGATAGACATTTGAGTAACTTATATTTGAACTGACCAAATTTGTAGGATAGACATTTGAGTAACTTATATTTGAACTGACCAAATTAGTAAGATAGACATTTGAGTAACTTATATTTGAACTGACCAAATTAGTAAGATAGACATTTGAGTAACTTATATTTGAACTGACCAAATTTGTAAGATAGACATTTGAGTAACTTATATTTGAACTGACCAAATTAGTAAGATAGACATTTCAGTAACTTATATTTGAACTGACGACATTAGTAAGATAGACATTTGAGTAACTTATATTTGAACTGACCAAATTTGTAAGATAGACGTTTGAGTAACTTATATTTGAACTGACCAAATTAGTAAGATAGACTATTCAGTAACTTATATTTGAACTGACCAAATTTTGTAAGATAGACATTTGAGTAACTTATATTTGAACTGACCAAATTAGTAAGATAGACATTTGAGTAACTTATATTTGAACTGACCAAATTTGTAAGATAGACATTTGAGTAACTTATATTTGAACTGACCAAATTAGTAAGATAGACATTTCAGTAACTTATATTTGAACTGACGACATTAGTAAGATAGACATTTCAGTAACTTATATTTGAACTGACGACATTAGTAAGATAGACATTTCAGTAACTTATATTTGAATGACGACATTTGTCAAATCCTCATCTTGTTTCCTTGACTGTATCAGGCGACGACACCACACAAAAAATCTTCACGGCGCCATTTGGGATGTCCATCCAAGGGTCTCAACCCGTGGTATATTCATATTGATGAGAACCCGTAGTATATTAATATTGATGAGAACCTGTGGTATATTCATATTGATGACGAATTGAACTTTTTCTGTTAAAATTATTCTTGCAGTATGGCGTCTTGTGTGTCCCTGATGTACACTCTTTTGGCTGCTGTCGCCGTGCTGGGAGTCTCTGGTAACCCAGGTATGAGAAACTTTTGATGCATGGCCTCATCATAATCAGCCTGGTCTAGCTGTACATGGCCTCATCATAATCAGCCTGGTCTAGCTGTGCATGGCCTCATCATAATCAGCCTGGTCTAGATGTGCATGGCCTCATCATAATCAGCCTTGTCTAGGTGTGCATGGCCTCATCATAATCAGCCTGGTCTAGATGTGCATGGCCTCATCATAATCAGCCTGGTCTAGATGTGCATGGCCTCATCATAATCAGCCTGGTCTAGATGTACATGGCCTCATCATAATCAGCCTGGTCTAGATGTGCATGGCCTCATCATAATCAGCCTGGTCTAGATGTGCATGGCCTACTCATAATCAGCCTGGTCTAGCTGTGCATGGCCTACTCATAATCAGCCTGGTCTAGATGTTATTTGGGCCTGCGCCCAGGGACCATAATCATCATCACCATCATCCCGATTCCATTTAGCTTCAATTAAGTTTTATATTTAAACTACATATATTGATACACGCCCACGTCACTATATGGTATATAGCAATGGATTCCAAACCGTGTGTCACGACACAGTTGTGTGTCACCTGCATGGGGAAGGTGTGTCGTGCGAACATAAGCCATACCCGGATTCGCGCATTTTTAGATTTAAAAAAAGAAACGTGAAATTAATTAATGTAAAGTTGTTGACAAAGAGGTGCAAAGTTTAAACTATTTTACAAGCAGACCCCAGAATTATATTACAAGTAGACCACATCAATCAGGATTATATGACAAGCATACCACATCAGTCATGATTATTTTAAAATTTATGGAAATTGCAAAAAGATTTTTATTTTTTAAAGTATTCCAAAACAACTGAGTGCCAGCTAAAATGTGATTAATAGCTCAGTCATTGTGGATCATTTGATCCACTTCTTTCAACCGACGAATGAACTTTTTTACTTACTGAAGAATAAGCAGAAGTAACAAATGATTGGAATCGTTCAAAAAGATGTAGCTAGGGGGTGATGTCACTTTAGGTCGTGTGTGATGTCGCTTTAGGTAGAGGGTGATGTCGCTTTAGGTAGAGGGTGATGTCGCTTTAGGTAGAGGGTGATGTCGCTTTAGGTAGAGGGTGATGTCGCTTTAGGTAGAGGGTGATGTCAGTTTAGGTCGTGTGTGATGTCGCTTTAGGTAGAGGGTGATGTCGCTTTAGGTAGAGGGTGATGTCGCTTTAGGTAGAGGGTGATGTCACTTTAGGTAGAGGGTGATGTCACTTTAGGTAGAGGGTGATGTCACTTTAGGTAGAGGGTGATGTCACTTTAGGTCGTGTGTGATGTCGCTTTAGGTAGAGGGTGATGTCGCTTTAGGTAGAGGGTGATGTCGCTTTAGGTAGAGGGTGATGTCGCTTTAGGTAGAGGGTGATGTCGCTTTAGGTAGAGGGTGATGTCGCTTTAGGTAGAGGGTGATGTCGCTTTAGGTAGAGGGTGATGTCGCTTTAGGTAGAGGGTGATGTCGCTTTAGGTAGAGGGTGATGTCACTTTAGGTAGAGGGTGATGTCAGTTTAGGTAGAGGGTGATGTCACTTTAGGTAGAGGGTGATGTCACTTTAGGTAGAGGGTGATGTCACTTTAGGTAGAGGGTGATGTCACTTTAGGTAGAGGGTAATGTCACTTTAGGTAGAGGGTGATGTCGCTTTAGGTAGAGGGTGATGTCGCTTTAGGTAGAGGGTGATATCGCTTTAGGTAGAGGGTGATGTCACTTATGTAGATTCGTGTCAAAATTGCATCCTTAAAATAAATGAAAGGTTTCTATGAGACATATTGCGTCATCAAATATTGGGCTATTGCTCTCTTTTTTTTTTATTGAGCCCGTAGATCTTTAAATGGGTTAATTACCCCTCTCCCCCGGGCCGTATACTGGTAAAACCAACTTACGGTGTCGTGATCTGATGTGTGTCTTAAAAGTGTGTCGCCAAAATAAACACGTTTGGAAAGCGATATTCACTCCTCCCAAGTCTCCGAGGATCTCTATCCTATACTTACCGAGTGCCATCAAATCATTTAGAACAACTCACCACCGACTGTTCACTATGTGCCATCAACATTATTTAAGGTAATGATTTTCATCCGAGCAGATGTCAGCAGATCTGCATGAAAACTAAAACATCGAAGCTCATCAACCACCCACCCCCGGAGACACACCCCCCACCCCCGGTACCCAACACTTCAAATATGTCGAATTGTGTAACAGACGTACATTTTGCAAGATACAATTTTACAAACATTAATCATTTCTTGTCAATGGCCTAAAAGCGGGCAGAGGGGCCGGGGTGTCTGCCTGCCGAGTGCCGCACTGTTTACATTTTATGGTCAGTGATGACATTTTCGTCCAACTGCATTTCAGAGTTTTTACGTGAGGAGGGCAGTGAACATCTTTGCCCGCACCGGCGGCACTAAGCCTATCTGTGGCACTAACCCTATCGGCGGCACTAACAATATCTGCGGCACTAACCCTATCGGCGGCACTAACCCTATCTGCGGCACTAACCCTATCGGCGGCACTAACCCTATCGGCGGCACTAACCCTATCTGCGGCACTAACCCTACACACTGCACGAACCCAGTACTTACACCCTATAGATAACAACACTTAACGGCACTAACCCTATCTGCGGCACTAACCCTATCTGCGGCACTAACCCTATCTGCGGCACTAACCCTATCTGCGGCACTAACCCTATCTGCGGCACTAACCCTATCGGCGGCACTAACCCTATCTGCGGCACTAACCCTATCTGCGGCACTAACCCTATCTGCGGCACTAACCCTATCTACACAACGGTTTCTATAGCTCTTTGACTTAATTAACTACCAGTCCCCAATAGCTTTAAATAACATTATAAAAAGAGCTTCTTTTTGTTTTGTATCTTTCAAATCCATGCTAATGTATTGTGCGTCATTTTGCCACCCTACAGCCTCCCCCTTCAGACCTCGTGTGATTGGTGGCGTGGAGGTGTTCAACAGATGCAGGTCGCCCCATAACTCAATCGTAGCCCTGCAGTTCACATCCACAAATGGACCCGTCACCTTCTGCTCGGCTGTCATGCTCACAGAGTCCTACCTCGTCACTTCCGGATTTTGTATCGCCCAGTAAGTTCAGTTCGGATGGTGTGATTGGTGGATGGATGGATGGGTGGATGGGTGGATGGACTGGCGGGTGGCTCGTTAGGGTAATGTCTGGTGCGAACGAATGGACAAATCGATACTTGGTTTGAACTAACGGATATGATAGACAATGTAGGATGGTTTTGTCGAATGGATGGATGGTGGGATTTGGCGATTGGATAGATGATTCAGTCGAATGCATAATTGTCTCGGACGAACAGATGGTTTGTTTTAATGAATAGATGATGAATTTGACCAATAATGTTAAGTTTGGACAAAGACATGTAAATCTGTCGAATGACTGGTTGTTTTGAACAAATTGATACAAAAATGGTTGCAAAAATGAATGCAAAAAATGGATGCAAAAAACGAATGCAAAAAATGGATGCAAATAACGAATGCAAAAAATGGATGCTAAAAAACGAATGCAAAAAATGGATGCCAAAAATGGATGCACACATGAATTTTCATATTGCTATTACTTCGCCACAGAATCAAAACACTTGCTGACATTCCACTGGTGGCAGTTATTGGAGAGAGAGACATGCTGGGGACAGACGTGGGCGAACAGAGGATCGCCATCGCTAACTTCACGTCCCATCGCCTCTACAACGACGTTACTCTTGGTCAGTGCTACCTGCAGTTAATGTTTACATTCCTGTCAAGCCTCAGTGGCAGAGAACACGGATATCAGATGTTTATTTCGTAAATTGATATATTATGTAACTTATTGTAACTAGTCATTCACCAGCTGTGGCGATTTCAAACTGGAATAGAAGGGATCTTTCTCACTTGGAGATTAATTTGAAATCAAAATTTGATGTTTGATGTCTCTTTTTTTTTTTAAAATGACGGTTCAATTACAATTTAAGTATTCCATAAAATAATTTTGTAAAATAAAAACGACTGCTAAGCCCGTCGTTGGTACGGGCTGGTTGGTCCTGGCTGGTTGGTCCTGGCTGGTTGGTCCTGGCTGGTTGGTCCTGGCTGGTTGGTCCTGGCTGGTTGGTCCTGGCTGGCTGGTCCTGGCTGGCTGGTCCTGGCTGGCTGGTCCTGGCTGGCTGGTCCTGGCTGGCTGGTCCTGGCTGGTTGGTCCTGGCTGGTTGGTCCTGGCTGGTTGGTCCTGGTTGGTTGGTCCTGGCTGGTTGGTCCTGGCTGGTTGGTCCTGGCTGGTTGGTCCTGGCTGGTTGGTCCTGGCTGGTTGGTCCTGGCTGGTTGGTACTGGCTGGTCCATTTAATGAAACTTCTTTTTCAAAGTAACGTTGGTTTTAATGTGCTTATTTTCAATTGTAGTATAAAGATGATAAATAAACTTCATTGGATTCAACCGAACAGACACACACTTGAACAATGATTGAGCACAATACGTGGAGACATAGGAACATAATGTATACGAATGTAATGAGCACGCACACACTTATTTGTTTCTAGCCTCCCTTCGCCATTTCCAGGAGTTTATTTTCTGTATCAGGGGACATCATTCAAGATTTCCTGAATTTTTATCCAACATCAGACAATCCCTTTGTAATTTTTTTGTATTTATGTAACCGTTATGTTGGATAAAGAGAAAAAAATGGGAGGGTGGATTGGATTGCCTCCCTGTTTTTTCCAACCGTTTTTTTTTTTATATATTTTGCAACCCGCCCCATCTTAGCCCACCCCACGAGAAAAACGCACGACCTGCTCATGTGAAATGGTTTCATGCCCACCGTCTGTCCCCCTGCGATCTCCAAGCTTACGTCAGAAAGACTGAATTTCAAATTATAGGCCTTTTTCAGCCTCAATAATCAACATAATGAGATAAATTGACAATAAATGGAATACAGTTGTTGTTGGGTTTTTAACTTTATTTAAGTGACCTCTCTAAACTTGCTTCACCCCTCCATCTTTTTTTTTAAAACGTTAATAGACTTTCCGTCTCAGACGCTCAAAGTCCGCCGACATTCTTCTGTTACCCCTAACTGCGTTGTGAAACACTGGATCCAGTAACCATTAAGCGAAGTTGGCACTAGGTCAGGGCACCCACGTCGTGGATGGAGTGCTGCTGTCGAGGAAAACTGACTTAGAGATACATCCATAACATGTTTTAAATATTATTCTGCTAAGGTGCTCCAAATGAAAACAATACACTAACACAAAAACGTTTTAACGGAAATCAACTGCACTTTTCAGATTACAACATAGGACTCATCCGACTGGCCAAGCCAGCCGTACTCAGTAATTGCGTCCAGCCCGCACTGAAAATGGAAACTGACGCCTCAGCCTGCATCGATGTGGACAAGTCGTGTATAATGATGGGATGGGGTCCTTATGCTGGTGAGTTGTAATGATGGGCTGGGGTCCTTATGCTGGTGAGTTGTAATGGTGGGATGGGGTCCTTATGCTGGTGAGTTGTAATGGCGGAATGGGGTTCTTATGCTGGTGAGTTGTAATGGTGGAATGGGGTCCTTATGCTGGTGAGTTGTAATGGTGGAATGGGGTCCTTATGCTGGTGAGTTGTAATGGTGGAATGTTGTCCTTATGCTGGTGAGTTGTAGAGGTGGAATGGGGTCCTTATGCTGGTGAGTTGTAATGGTGGAATGGGGTCCTTATGCTGGTGAGTTGTAATGGTGGAATGGGGTCCTTATGCTGGTGAGTTGTAATGGTGGAATGGGGTCCTTATGCTGGTGAGTTGTAAGGATGGGATGGGGTCATTTTGCTGGTGCGTCATAGTGTAGGGCATGGGCCCTCATGTTGGTGAGTGACAGTGTAACCTGTTTTCGCCAGAAGTTTATCCATTTACATAACTGTTTCTCAATAAATGATAAATCACGTACAAATGCATGAATGCAACAAAAATGCACATAAAATATTTATGCGAAAAACTTTGTTTTAGAGTTTGTTGTTTCATTTTTATTTTATTTATTTTTGTTGTTGTTTTTTTCACCCCAAAGCATTAGAGCTGGACAATTTGTGTGTAAAACAATGGCAGATGGGTCAATCATTATTCTTGGAAACTTTTAGTAAATGACGGAAGAAATGTATTAATTTTTTGCGCCGTATTAAAAGCAATTATATACCAATAAATAACATACATTTTTCTGGAGCATAAAATGCTTAGTTTTATAAAGACGCTTTCAATTGTGTGTGCGATAAATACATGTTAACCATTACTGAACAGTGGCAAAACTTTAATGGCTACCGCAAATATTCAAAAGGGTGGGGGTGGTGGGGGTGAAGGTTGGGTAATAAAGTAATTAGAATCGGACTGGGTAAGGCGGGCACATGGTGCACAGGCGAATACCAAGCTCGGAAGCTCGAGAATACTAGCTAGTGCCGTGTCCAAACAAGCCCCCTAATAGAATAACGCCGTAGTTTATAACGTGGTTGCGTTGTCCCAGTTAGTCTATAAGGCTATACAGCCTACATTCCATAAATTTCAATCCTCATGTTAGCACAAAATATTTTTGATTTGAACCAATCATTTCTTTGTGTTTAAAAAGTTTCTTCGTGTTTTTCATGTTAAATCCTCAACCGTTTTCTTTTTTTCCTGCTTCGATGTCTAATTCTGACAATCTGAGATCGATATATGTGCAGTGCATATAATGTAGTGGCGTATTTTTCTGGAAGCGCACTGCAATTATATTCATATTTATTGAATGGTTCGCCCACCGGTATCATGATTAGCCTTAATTAAAAATTCGATTATATTTATAACACTTTTTATGTTGAAATAATCAAGATGACTTTAATGAATTGATTTTGTGAGGTTGCTGGTCCGGAGAGTACATTACTCTATTTCGGTAACATACGTTTAAACACACACAAAATATTTTTTTAATAACGCTTACTTAATGCATACAAATTGTCTTTGGAGATTTAAAGAGATCGACCATAATCTTCAAAAAAATAGATTTTTATACGGGTTTTTTTGTCCAAAACACAAAGATAAAGTGTTTTAACACGTAGAATTGTCTAGTTTGTGTTTTGCTTGATCTTTCGCTCGTAATTTTAAAAATAATAGTTGAAATAAAGATTTGTTTTTCCATGAGCAGAAATCACCGTACCAACAAATTCCCGCCTGCTTCGATCAGCCAACGTCACCGTGCTTGGAAGTTTTGTCACTGACATCATGTCAGTGTCCAAAAGGGGAACTAAGGCACCAGTTGGGACGCTCTTCGCCGAGGGACTTAATCTTGGCAATAAAGCCTGCTTTGTAAGTATCGACAGTGCCTTGTAAGTGCTTTGTACGCAACGACAGTGCCTTGCAAGTGCTTTGACGCACCGACAGTGCCTTGTAAGTGCTTTGTAAGTACCGACAGTGCCTTGTATGTGCTTTGTACGCACCGACAGTGCCTTGTAAGTGCTTTGTACGCACCGACAGTGCCTTGTAAGTGCTTTGTACGCACCTACAGTGTCTTGTCTGTGTTTTGTTAGTATCAACAGCGTCATGCCTGTGCTTTGTAAGTACCAACAGTGTCTTGTCTGTGCTTTGTAAGTACCAACATTGTATTGTCTGTGCTTTGTTAGTACCAACAGTGTCTTGTCTGTGCTTTGGAAGTACCATCAGCGTGTTATCTGTGCTTTGTTAGTATCAATAGTGTGTTGTCTGTGCTGAATAGCTTAGCTAGAAGTGGGTTGGTGGGTAGGGCTGTCAAAAATGTTTTTAAAAACCTGTCCGGGTACCCATCTACCCACGAAGCCGGGTATTCAGTCAAACTGTTAGGAAATGAGAAGCCAGTAACATGAATGTTACAGAATGGCACTCAAAATATAATTAACTATAATTCCAGGCAAGTGCAGAAGACGAGACTGTCTTGTGATTAATTTTGGCCCTAGCCCCCCTTCACAACCTTCTAGCCCCTTCCACCACCTTCCCAGCCCCTCCACCACCTCCTTAGCCCCCCACCACCTACCCAGCTCCTCCACTACCTCCCTAGTCCTCTTTACCACCTCCCTAGCCCCCTCCCCTCCACCACCTCCCTAGCCCCTCCACCACCTCCCTAGCCCCCTCCACCATCTCCCCAGCCCCCTCCACCACCTCATTGTGTGAATTTAGAATAAAAACATTTTTATACAGAATTTTGTCGTTGTTTATTTTAATATAAGATGGCAACATATAAGTTGCGTTTATAGCAGGGGGGCTATATTTTATATTATGTTGTTCCTTTGATCCAATGGCAAGGCTTAGTCAAGGCGACTGTAAATAGACAAGGATGAGTTGATGACCAGCATTGTTTCTTGTGTTTCACTGTGCTCTTTATGCGTTCCACGTCGCATGAGCTGCCAGTATTTTTAATTGTGTCAGTGACATGCCGCCTACGGGACTCCTTCTCCGGGTTAGATTTTAGAGTCGCCATCCAAGTTCAGCGAGTCCCATCCACAAGGGGTGATGGTGTTGCATTCGCTTGTCTTGGATTTTTCTGCAAACCACTCGGCCACCCAGCAAGAATAGACAGCAGTTTTTAGGCGGGAAATTATGTGTACTTTTGCAGGCAGCGTGATAATTATCTAGTGAACGAGTGCTCTATGCTACACGTTGAAAATAAGTTTGAAAATAAACTGTGAAACAATGGTTAATAATGCTGCGATCATTAATATTAAAGTTTAACAAGTATTTCCACAGTGATCTTAATTTTCAAAGGATTTTACTGATAATTCACAATTTTTAAATTTTACGAAAACATCTACCCAGTTCCGCTCTTAGCCCTGCGTGCCGCAGTTTGCCCGCCCCTGGATAAGAGTGGGTCCCGACAGCAATGTACTCATTTTCTAAATCAGAGGTTCCCAATCAGTGATCCGCGTAATCCTAAGGGCTCCACGTGCACTTTTTAGGGGGCCTGATAGACGTTGATTAAAAGGGCTCCTCGGATCAAAATGGTTGGAAACCACCGATATAAATTGTACAGAAAAATGGTTATAATAAAAATTGTTGTTTTTTTTCTTTCTTATACTCTCACTTTTGACTTATTAAGCTGATTTTTTAATTAATTTTTTTTTTTTTTTTTTGGCTTGTTTTTTACAAAATTTAAATATTTTTTTTCTTAAAGTTTGATTGGGGAGGTCTTGTGAGTTGCCAGAGAAACGGGAAATACGTTTTGCAAGGTATCATTGGAGACCACAACTGCAACTCTCAGCAATGGACACCCATCCTGGTGAGCAACATGGAGTTCTTCCAAACCTGGATCGACCTATGCCTCGCCAACTGGTCTGCGTGCCCCAATCTATAGACGTTAAAAAAAAAACAGCTTCATCAAATCCTCAGCTGCTAGCTCAAAAATTACACACACACAAAACTGAGTTTGCTAACCGGGATGTGGGATACGTCTTTTGGGATAACAGTTTGCTGTTTTCAGTTTCTATTTTACATTAGTTCAATTTAGTTCAAAACATTTTTTTTTTACATGTATGAAATAATTCATGTCAATGCAGGTTTCAAATTGATTGGTTTATGATTTGTGATGGTCCAATGACGAGCCTTTCTCTTGACATACCAAAATACAATAAATTAGTTTGATTTTGTTGATTCATTTGCCATTACCTGTGTTTCTTTGAGAAGAAGAGTGGGAGAGTGGGAGAATGGGAGAGTGTGAGAATGGGAGAGTGGGAGAATGGGAGAGTGTGAGAATGGGAGAGTGTGAGAATGGGAGAGTGTGAGAATGGGAGAGTGAGAGAATGGGAGAGTGTGAGAATGGGAGAGTGGGAGAATGTGAGAATGGGAGAGTGGGAGAATGGGAGAGTGTGAGAATGGGAGAGTAAGAGAATGGGAGAATGGGAGAGTGTGAGAGTGGGAGAATGGGAGAATGGGAGAGTGGGAGAGTGGGAGAGTGTGAGAGTGGGAGAGTGTGAGAATGGGAGAGTGTGAGAATGGGAGAGTGTGAGAGTGGGAGAGTGTGAGAGTGGGAGAGTGGGAGAGTGGGAGAGTGGGAGAGTGGGACCCCTCCACCATCTCCCCAGCCCCCTCCACCACCTCCCTAGCCCCCTCCACCCCCTCCCCAGCCCCCTCCACCACCTCATTGTGTGAATTTAGAATAAAAACATTTTTATACAGAATTTTGTCGTTGTTTATTTTAATATAAGATGGCAACATATAAGTTGCGTTTATAGCAGGGGGGCTATATTTTATATTATGTTGTTCCTTTGATCCAATGGCAAGGCTTAGTCAAGGCGACTGTAAATAGACAAGGATGAGTTGATGACCAGCATTGTTTCTTGTGTTTCACTGTGCTCTTTATGCGTTCCACGTCGCATGAGCTGCCAGTATTTTTAATTGTGTCAGTGACATGCCGCCTACGGGACTCCTTCTCCGGGTTAGATTTTAGAGTCGCCATCCAAGTTCAGCGAGTCCCATCCACAAGGGGTGATGGTGTTGCATTCGCTTGTCTTGGATTTTTCTGCAAACCACTCGGCCACCCAGCAAGAATAGACAGCAGTTTTTAGGCGGGAAATTATGTGTACTTTTGCAGGCAGCGTGATAATTATCTAGTGAACGAGTGCTCTATGCTACACGTTGAAAATAAGTTTGAAAATAAACTGTGAAACAATGGTTAATAATGCTGCGATCATTAATATTAAAGTTTAACAAGTATTTCCACAGTGATCTTAATTTTCAAAGGATTTTACTGATAATTCACAATTTTTAAATTTTACGAAAACATCTACCCAGTTCCGCTCTTAGCCCTGCGTGCCGCAGTTTGCCCGCCCCTGGATAAGAGTGGGTCCCGACAGCAATGTACTCATTTTCTAAATCAGAGGTTCCCAATCAGTGATCCGCGTAATCCTAAGGGCTCCACGTGCACTTTTTAGGGGGCCTGATAGACGTTGATTAAAAGGGCTCCTCGGATCAAAATGGTTGGAAACCACCGATATAAATTGTACAGAAAAATGGTTATAATAAAAATTGTTGTTTTTTTTCTTTCTTATACTCTCACTTTTGACTTATTAAGCTGATTTTTTAATTAATTTTTTTTTTTTTTTTTGTGGCTTGTTTTTTACAAAATTTAAATATTTTTTTTCTTAAAGTTTGATTGGGGAGGTCTTGTGAGTTGCCAGAGAAACGGGAAATACGTTTTGCAAGGTATCATTGGAGACCACAACTGCAACTCTCAGCAATGGACACCCATCCTGGTGAGCAACATGGAGTTCTTCCAAACCTGGATCGACCTATGCCTCGCCAACTGGTCTGCGTGCCCCAATCTATAGACGTTAAAAAAAAAACAGCTTCATCAAATCCTCAGCTGCTAGCTCAAAAATTACACACACACAAAACTGAGTTTGCTAACCGGGATGTGGGATACGTCTTTTGGGATAACAGTTTGCTGTTTTCAGTTTCTATTTTACATTAGTTCAATTTAGTTCAAAACATTTTTTTTTTACATGTATGAAATAATTCATGTCAATGCAGGTTTCAAATTGATTGGTTTATGATTTGTGATGGTCCAATGACGAGCCTTTCTCTTGACATACCAAAATACAATAAATTAGTTTGATTTTGTTGATTCATTTGCCATTACCTGTGTTTCTTTGAGAAGAAGAGTGGGAGAGTGGGAGAATGGGAGAGTGTGAGAATGGGAGAGTGGGAGAATGGGAGAGTGTGAGAATGGGAGAGTGGGAGAGTGGGAGTGTGAGAATGGGAGAGTGGGAGTGTGAGAATGGGAGAGTGGGAGTGTGAGAATGGGAGAGTGTGAGAGTGGGAGAATGGGAGAGTGGGAGAATGGGAGAGTGTGAGAATGGGAGAGTGTGAGAATGGGAGAGTGTGAGAATGGGAGAGTGTGAGAGGGGGAGAATGTGAGAATGTGAGAGTGTGAGAATGGGAGAGTGTGAGAATGGGAGAATGGGAGAGTGTGAGAGTGGGAGAATGGGAGAGTGGGAGAGTGGGAGAATGGGAGAGTGGGAGAGTGAGAATGGGAGAGTGGGAGTGGGAGAATGTGAGAGTGGGAGTGTGAGAATGGGAGAGTGGGAGTGTGAGAATGGGAGAGTGGGAGTTTGAGAATGGGAGAGTGGGAGTGTGAGAATGGGAGAGTGGGAGTGTGAGAATGGGAGAGTGGGAGTGTGAGAATGGGAGAGTGGGATTGTAGGAATGGGAGAGTGGGAGTGTGAGAATGGGAGAGTGGGAGTGTGAGAATGGGAGATTTGGAGAATGGGAAAGTGGGAGAATGGGAGATTGCAGGTATAAAATGTTTTTTACAATCAAAAAATTGAAACATGTTGGAATGCATCATTAGGACCATTCGTCTTTACGCGACTCAATTTGTCCACTAGTGGCTTGACCTTTAAGTGGACAGTCAATAAATATAAATTGTTATTCAGGCGAGCTGATGCCATCCACGTTGTTTGAGATGACCCGTCAAGCACAAACGCTCCTGCGTGACACTGCCATGTCTGAGAGTAACTATCTGGCGAGATTCCTTTCAAATAAAATTAGTTTACTCACCCTTGGTATCATTGTCCCTTTACCGATTTTAAACCTCAGGGGCGGACGCCCGAAGGGAGTTCCCTTCTCTTCCCCCCCTCCCCCACCCGAACCGTTACCACCCTAAACCACCACCATGCAGCATCTATTCTAAGACAGATGTGGTTAAATTAATTACATGATGATTTATATTGGTATCAGAATTAAGAGTATTGTCTTATCAAAATGTCTAATCAATACATTGTTGCTCGTCAAGTCAGGATACATATTTTCTTTCACCCCTCTCCAAAAAAAAAATATAAAAAAATCAGCACTCAAAATTAAAAGGCCTTTTAAAAAAATATGTATTTATTTATTTTTGAAGATGGATTGTTGAAATAATTTCTAATAGAAACTTAGGATGGAAATAAGACAAATAAAATTTAGAAAATGCATTGAATGCAAGAAATCCAGAAATCCAGTGATCCAGTAATCCAGTGATCCAGTGTTTCTTTCCGGCACATCTCGTCACATCACATTTTTAGCCACTGTTTACTCTGCCACCCCCCCCCTTTTTTTTCAGCTACGCCTCTGGACACTGGCACTGCTAACCAAAAAAAATTTTTAAATTCAATTGTGCCCCCCCCCCCCCCGAACCTGTCTGAAAGAAACACTAATGACATCATTACGAACATACAAATTAGCGAGAAAAAAAAATAGTACAATGCGACATTTCTCGCGATCAATACATCAATCATAATTTATTTTATCTTTTGCTGTAAATCTTTAAGAACAAAAATGACCTTAGCTACAAGTGTTCTACAGCGTTCTAAAACTCCAGCATGTTAAATACCGGTAATTCTAGATCTACAGTGAAAGAAATGGTTCGCCAGGCAATTGGGGAGTACGATGACCTACTGGTGACTGTGAAAAAACGCAAACTACAATGGTACGGCCACGTAACAAGGCAACAAGGGCTTGCCAAATAAATATTACAGGGCACCACAAGAGGAGGGAGAAGAATAGAAAGAAAAAGATAGGAGGATAACATCAAAGAGTGGACAGGACTAACACTGGGCGATGCTGTGCGTAGTGCAGAAGACAGAGACGAATGGAGGAGGATAGCTCACATGTCATCTTTGGCGCCCCAAGAGTCCAAGGGCTAAGGGACATTAGTGCGTTTAAAATGTATTGCGCAAATATACATTTACTTTACTATATAATTATAAACTTTATAATAATTTATTAATTATCAGTTTATGGCTTGAATGAATGGCTGAATTAGGCAATCCGTTTTTAAAGTATTGAATGAAAGTTAATGAAACTTGCCGTATTTTAATTTAACAGTTAGAATTCATAATGACAAAAACGTGAATGCATAAAATATTTTTAGAATAATTGTTACTGGAGAAAACTTTAACTAAGCAGAAAAGTTACTTAGGTGCGCTATGAGAGATAATTTTAAGTAATTTGGAAAAGCTGAAAGCTTTTGTGAAGATTTACCTCCCGTGGTACCATAGCAACACCAGCATCCAACAAATTGCTGACACGTTGCATCCTGCTTGATGTAAACAAGATGGCGAATGACGAACTGCGGCAGCGTTTGTTGAGTCCTGATCAAACAGAAACAAATCTTAAATGGGATCCAGATAATTTGCCTTTAAAAAGTAAACTAAAATTGGCACGAAAGGCAAAAGATGATCCATTGTATGTTTACGTGTTGGAGGTATTTTGACTTTCAATTAAATTGTAATATATTTAATTAGCTAAAAAAAAATTAAATATTTTAATTAATTTGTATTTGTTTAATTTTATGGCATAGACTTAGACTTAAAAAGTCTAATATAAGTTAAGTATTAATTAATAATAACTAGTGTTTTGATGCCTGAGGCTGCCCTTCAGTTTTCATCACTCAATCACTCCCTCATGAAAACCACGATGGCACAAAACAGTAATTCTGAGTAATGAATGATATGCAAAATGAAACATGGATGAATCATGCCATATAATATTGGAAAGCTGAAGTAGTAACCTGCCTATATTGTAGTATATAAATTAGAATTTTTTTTTGCATTTTCATGAGAAATCAAACTTTGTCTAGTAGTAGTAGTTGCAGCAATGTCTACTGCCTTGCATCATTCTGTGCTGCTTACTGGACAAAAATGTCCCCCCCCCCCACATTTTTTAGCCATATAATATTGGAAAGCTGAAGTAGTAACCTGCCTATATTGTAGTATATAAATTAGAATTTTTTTTTTCATTTTCATGAGAAATCAAACTTTTTCTAGTAGTAGTAGTTGCAGCAATGTCTACTGCCTTGCATCATTCTGTGCTGCTTACTGGACAAAAATGCCCCCCCCCCCCACATTTTTTATGTTGAGTTACACTTGAATTTAAATTCATGCCTTTATTTTTTTATACATTGCAGGGATTAATGATTGTTTTTACTATTGTTGCTGCCCTGTACTGTTGGTTCTACTTTGACAATGTACATTTCCATGTATCACATGCTTATGCTCACCTAGGATATGATGTAGCTCAACATCATGTTGGTCAAAGATATTTGCACGGTATGTTCCTAGTAAACTTTAAATAATTTTTAAATTGCTTTATATTTAGAATTCAGTAATAATTATTAACAAAGTTCATTAAGCTTTTCAAATATGTATTATTATTTGCATGCTATTATGGCTTTCTTATGGCATGGCTTTGTTACTTTGTTGTTACTTGATAATTTTATTATTTACTTAAGTGTTTAAAAACCTTCATAAATTGTTTACTGGAATTAAATCTAAAAGTTGGTTTCCAACGGAAAGAGAACACATCTAGTATATGTTAATAGTTTTATAAAACTAATAAAATATTTTTACAAGTACAAGTGAAAGAGAAGACACATCCTGTGTACTTATGTGGGTACCAACATTTATTAATTTCATCTTGAAAACTAAATCACATGGATTCTAAGGGACATACTTCTTTTCTCAATATTATTGAACTTCATGGTTATTGCTAATGTTAGTAAGGCAATAGCAGATTTTTTGGCTGGTATGTAAACTGAAACCAATAATCAATCAATATCAACTATAATTCACTGTCCTCCTGATATCTAAATAATATTTTAACAATTACTGTCAGTTGCTTTTCTAGCCAAATAAAATTTTATTTTGAATTTTTATAAAATTCTTTAACAAATATTGTCGATTCTGTGTTCTATATCAGTTTTTATTCTTTCTGAATTAAGGTAAGGGGGTGGAAAAGCATCCAGAAAAGGCCATGGAATGGTTCAGGTATATTCAATTAATTTAATTTTGTATGCAATAATGGCTTTCAGAGGATTTCTCATACGAGTATTTCTAATTTTATAAGGTGACTTGCCAGTATTCAAAATTAATGCATCTTACATAGAAATTTCATAAACTAATTAATGTCTGAAAATAAAATAAGTTGTGTGTTGTGTCATAAGTTACGACATCCACTAGCATCACTGACATTTATTTTTCCTTATAAGTTGCATTTTATTCCATGTTGAATTGCTTTTATTGACAGGAAAGCTGCTGATCAGGGTCACCCTCACGCTGCCTATAATCTTGCAATTGGTCATCTCAAAGGATATAAAACAGACTTAAAACCTGGGTAAAGCTAAGCTGTAATTGTAAAGTAAATGTCCTTTGCATTTGAGTTGTGTTAAAGAGAATAGTTGTGTTTTACTTCATGTCATTTTTAGATTTTAAAAATAATTGTGTATTCTTTTAGGACATTAAACTGTATATAAAATGTGTATTTTATCTTATCTTATCTAGTGAGTCACATCAACTGATAACTCATGCTGCAGCCAATGGTGTGAAGGAAGCACATCATGTGCTGAACTCTGTGTGCACAAAAGGAGGCTGTCACTAACCATCAATATGTTAAAAAAAAAAAACATAGTCTCTTGGATTCTTTTCCAATACTTTTCTCTGGATCAGTTAACATGTTTGTATCATTTCATATTTTCCTATAATTATAAGAAACCTTTTCAGATCAGAAATGTTTACCAGATTTCAAATTGAAAAGAGCTTTTAATCTTATCTAGTCAACCGCTACATTTGTTTACAAATATAAACTTTATCTTCTAGTCTACTGTTAAATAAATTGTAACATTTATTTTAATTTAATTATTTTCAGAATATGTTTTATCACCATAAACTATCTTTTGAGCACATTAAAAAAAAAATGATGTTAAGCAGTGGTTCTCAAACTTTTCTGTTCCACTGCTCTTGGTTCCATAAAAATAAATTCATCCTTAGCCCCACCTACACTACCCTATAAAAAACGAACATTTTTGACTTGTGGTAAGCTTGACCAGCTGCAGTAGATTAAAGTGCAATAAAAGTTAAAAATAACAAAATTGATCTTACAATTTCCTGGGCTGTTAAGAACTGCTCAACCATATAAAATATTGATGCCCTTAAACTTAAATAGTTCCTATCTCTACCAAACTAGAAAAAAAAAGTTCATCACTTAAATAATTTTCATATTCAAAACAAACAGTTGATTTTAACTTTCCTGTGCTTCATTTGGTTATATTTGCTATGCTATTCTATTAGTGGGCCACCCTCCCAGACCAGCCACAAATAAGGGGAGGGGGTGTGGTACATACCAGTTTAAGAACGGCCAATTAAAGCCTTTTTAAATTACACCAAATATTGTGTTGAGCTTTTAAAAATATTGTTTATTTCTATGTAATTGTATCCATCACTTTTTAAGTCTATATATCTTTTTTTGTTAGAAATATAAATACTGATATGCTGGGCGGATACTCAAAACTGCTGCGCGGCATCTGTGAGATAGCTGTGCAGCAGCGCAGCTTAAAGGGAACATTGCTGATATGGTTTAAAATAAAATGCATCCCATTATTTACCTAAAAAAGTTTTTTTGTGGACCAACCAAACATTTTATAAGCTCACTTTGATGTCACCTAAATACATACATTTTTTTGCACTTATTTTCCTGCTACACAAAATGGGAAATAACACCAGATTTATTCATTGGAATACAAATAAACACCTTATGATTCTTATCCTTTTATAGATAAAAAGTAAAAGATAAATCAAGATATTGTGGTTTTTTTCATAAATGTTAAAAAAATATTGTAAATTTCATTCAAATACATTTAAATAATAGTTCAATTAAATTAAGGTTATGGTGTGTCTCTACACTCTTTAATCATTAATCTCTTTGTAATTTTAGAAATATAGAATATCTATATAAAAATTGTATTTTTCTTTTTAAGATATGTTCTGTTTTTATGTTGATTTCAATAATAAAAAGTTCTTTACTCTTAATTATTTTTCAGAATTTAAAAATTTTGTTTCTCTAAAAAATGTTACCTTAACTTTTACATTCGTCATTTAGTACAATGCATTTAAGTTATTATTTGTTAATAAGTGACATATTTTGCACTTGTGTTTTTATTTGTTTTTTTACACTTTCATCTAAAATTATATTTATTTATTAATTAATGGTTGCCATTGGGATCTTATTGTTGAAAATACTTTATTTGTTATTGGCACAACTACAATTCCGTCCTTTAGTGATACACTTTATACTATACTCAGGTGGCAAATGTGTAATGTAAAATATTTCAATTAATTATATTTCTGTTTTGAAATAATTGTGATCACTTATGATTTGGATTTACACCAAGTAATTTTACTTATAATTTTTTAAAGAAATGAATTGCAGTTTGTTTTTGTTGTTCGCAAATTGTTAAAGCTTTGACAAAAGCATAAATGCTGCTGAAATTTTAAAGATTGTTTTGAAATTTTTAGTCTTAATTGTCACAATAAATTCATTATTGTTCATCACCTGATGTTCTTGTATTTATTTTTTTTATGACTGAATTACTAGCCAAGTTTTATTTTTCAAATTTAAAACAGATTTTACAGACATTCAAATCATAAAATTATAACTTTTGAGAAAAAAAATAACTATTAGGTTTTCTCTTAATTCTTAGAAATTTAAAGAGCTATTATTTTCTTGATTTAATCTTTCTATTTAAACTCTGCATTTTTTTAAATTTGACATGGTTATTAAACTTAGAAGCAAAGATTGAGCATGGTTTGATATGTTGTTTGTACCCAGTATACTGTATATTGTCATTCCACTGAATGTTTCTTTAAAAAATGAAATTCAAGAAATTATAATTAATAAGTTGGTGGAAACACATGTTTTACATTGACTCATTACTGGCTCTTGAATTTTCAAATTTAGAATCAGATTTATGTCTAACCATAATTGTTAAAATAATAAATTTGTCCAAAAAAAAAGGTGTAGGGGCGGGTCCCTGGGTTAGGGGAAGGTCTTGAATTAATTTTAAAATAATTTTAGCAATTTCATCCACCTGGTTATAATATAATTCATTTGATTATAAATCATCAAAACTTAATAAAAAAAATAATTTTAAGATAAGACTCAGCTAAAATTTAATTGAGAGTAAATATGCAAATATTTTCGAGTGCACTTAACAGGCCAAACATTTAAAAGTTGTACCTGCTAATTTCAGCTTCCATTTTTATTTAGTAATTAGTTTTCTACTTCTTAGATCCACAGAGTGCAACACTAGAATGTTTTAAAATGTTTTACTACCAAAGACATGTATGCAAAACAGGCAAAATGCCCATTACTATAACACTAAAACAATTTCAATTTAATTAGACAACCATTATTTAGGTTTCACTGAAGATAAGGCTCCTTTAAGGTAGGACTTCATCTGCCTTTCAAGGACAACCACAAATCCCTCAGATCTTGTTGAACAATTCATCTGTCCGTCCATTTTTCAAGCTTGCCAGTACAGGGTCGTTTGTTCCAAGGCAGTTGCAGAAGCAGTCCTCTCCCATTGATATCAAAAGGTCTGGATGTAGCTTCAATTTTGACAACCGCTTCAAACACACCTTCGTGAACGGTCCCTGAAAAAAAGAAAGCACATTTATTTTACAATGTATAGACATCACAGGTTTAGCAAATATTGGTACTAAATCAGTGTATGACTGACAACTGGAAGCAGGTATAACCAAATACATTACCATTTCCAGATGAGCTCTTCCAGCTTTGTTCTGGTAAAATAGAGTCATCCATGGTCCTGACAGCACTTTTCCATACAAACCTGAGCAAAGAAATTAATACAAAAAATTACATTACCGGTATGAATCTTTAGATAGTTTCCAAAACTTTTAAAAAGAAAACAAACCATTAAAAAATACATGAAAAATATTTACACTTAAAAACTATTCGGAGTTAAATAATGATGTGTGGATTCTCCAAATCATTCAAAATGGTGACTGACATCTTAACATCATCTTTGTACTTTGACAGAAATTCTTTCAAAATGTTTTTCAAGGGGTCCACAGTTCCCCCTAGATGTAACAGTTCATGTATTCTGTTCCCAACATATCTTGTTATCACTACAGAGGCCAGGTTTTCAAAGTTTAAGAAAGCTCTGAAGCCTTCTGGATCTCTGGATTTCATCTTCTATCTATAAAAAGTTAATTATTAATAGGCATACATTTGTATACCGGTACAAATTTGTTCAAATACATGTAAAGATGTGATTCTGTGTTTATGTGTGATGCATATAATTTATCTATAAATTATAAAGAAAACTAACTATTCAACACCCACCTGAGCTTGGATATAGAGTTGAGTAAATTGGCTGCTCTTCCTTTGGATCCAAATAGTTCACTATTAACTTTTAAATTATCATCAAATGCTAGCCTGGGACATCAACAGTTATATGACACAGCAGCTTTCTTTTGTCATAGCATCCCAAGAAATTTTGAAGTACCATCATTATCATGCGCATTGAATAAAAGCTCCCCTAATTGCAAATCGGAAATAACACCTGTAGAAGGTGTAGAAGGTCCAGGAATACTTTAAACTGTCGGATGGTAGAGCTCTTTTATGACAAATTCAATTATAGGTCCAGTCTTCTCTTTTGCTACTTGATTTAAAAGGCACATATAAATACATTTTCAAATTGGGACAATATATTGCTTTCTCTTGTGCTCCATCTCAGAATACCCTAAATGTGTAACACTTGTATTAGTGTTGAACTGCTTCTCTAATTGTTTTAGCCTATTTCTTAAACAGAAAACTTATAAGTTTTATTTCTTTATTCTTTCCTCTTTATCCTTAGTAATATTTTTAAATCCTAATATTTTTTCTTTAAAAAATTGTACCAGTACTCTGATACTCCGTTTTAGTTTGATCAGTTTTTTTCAGGGTGGGGGGGGTTGGATCTGATTTTGTTTTAAATAATTTAACTTTTTTTGTAATTTCAAATTTTATTTTCTTAAGGTAAACTTTTCTTGTCTTAACTTGTACCTAGTTGCAGCATTCTTTTAAAATGTTGATTTATTTTTTTGAAACGAAAGTGCTTTAACATAATAAAAATATCTTTTAACTCATTTTTTAAGGTTCTGAGTTTTGATTTCAAATCACATATTGCCTTCAAATGTGCTTTACTTAAAACTGGGCTCTTGTCACACTCTCTTTTGAGTTGCATCTATGTTTATTTATTTTCAAGGTTAGTGACAGCGTCCAGCATGGGTGCTTTCTGCTTTATTACTGGTATTACTGGTATATATCCTAAAAGACATATTCAAAATTCCAGTAATACGATCCCAGTTTTTGCTGATGTTCTTTTAATATTTGTACTTCTCTGGTTGAACGCACTAATGCAGAGTTTATCCATCTAAAAGTGTGCAATCATGGCCTTTGTCTGTCAAAAGTTGATGTACACTTTGAGTTATTCTAACATTATTTTTATTCAGCGTAAGCCAATTTTGTAATCGATATCCATTAGGGAATATTATTCCTTCATGGGATATAAATTTACTGATATAATTCTGGTAATCTTGAAGAGTCTTTATTACAGCATGTCCATCAAGATTCACAGCTCCTCTAAACAGTGCACGGCTTTATGTTCTTCTTCTTCTGTATCTTAAGGGCCCACGATCAATTTATTGATCATTTTGGCTCCTATGCATGTAGATGGGATTTGCAATGTTTCTGTTACTGGTGGTGATGAGGAAATTATGCACTTCCCCAAACTTCCGAACTCCGTATAGACACAAATGTGTCTAGTGTTGTCGCCTCAACTGTTCCTTTTGAAAGATGGTTCCAGTCCCTGATTGTCTTGGGCAGGAATGAGCAGCTCCTATACTGGCTTCTTGCTGATACTGAGCTTACTATTAATTAATTATGTAAAACAAGTTTAAGTGTTTGTTATAGTGGACTATCCGGACGGTATAGTCCGCCAGTCCACTCGCTATAACGGACTATAATTCCCAGTAGTAGAGGTTGATAATTATTATTATTATTACAATTACAACAAAGATTTAGATGAATCAAGTTGATTTAGCATTGACATGGAATATTAGTATGTAGAGCTTAAATTTTCATGAATATAAATTTTATAATTTAATTACGCTGTGCTATCTCTTCACATTTACCTAGTCAATTTATATTGTTTAATTTGATTTAATTTTCATGCTGAAGACAAATTTATAAATATTTTATGAAGGGTAATTATTTTTTAAAATACAAATGAACTTTTATAATGACTATTCATTGTCAAATGTATAGTAATGATTGTATTTACCTAGTTACTAAGGTTTCTTTAAACTGAGCGCATGCGTGAGGTAAGATGACCGGAAGTAACTCACTTCGCTGTAATACTCTTAAAATGATTCGCCAACTTCTCGATTAGTCAACAACATCTGTCACTACAGTTCACGAGAATGGTAAGAAGCGTATCCTAAACACAACACAATGATGATATATGAAAGTCGATGTTAATGACTACCTGGTATATTAAAATATGGGGTATACCAAAATATGGTGATAAATAATATGACAGTAGTTAACTTCAGTATAGAGTATAGATGCTTAACTAATAATAATTCATAAATATTTAAATATCCATATTATTAAATTATTCAAAGTTAACCAAATTTCTATAGTGCATTAACAGCAGTTGTTCTCGGCGCATGGGTCGCGACCACAAAGTTCACTGTGGTTGCATGAGAAGTGACAGGGATCTTTTGAAAATAACAGAAATTTTTTATCTGTAATATACCACTTCAGACTTCAGTGTGGTTATAAAGTTTTCTATTTGAAAAATTATTAAATTATTTAAATTTTCCATTTACTCCTCTATAATTAATGAATTAATGTCATCTATCTAGGGCCGTTGTTTTTACCAACTAATTATGAAATATGCTATGACTTGATAAGTCGAAGCTTAAACTTTGGGCTTTGAAATTCTGTGATTTTTATAATTTAACAGTTTTGATCTAGCAGCAATTGCTGCACTGTAGGCCTATACTAAACTATAGCTGGTGTCATTAGAGATATTATTTAGTCATTAGGTCAGTACTCTATTGTAGTCGGTGGCATCGACATCCCCACGATTTATAATAGTGTCATCTCTTCTCCCTACGATTAAAGGCTGACGGATTCTGCTGTCAGTGATGATGCATGTGGCTTGGTATCAGATTTCAGTCAAGCATCAACAGCTGTTTTTGTCTGTGTACTCAGTATCTGGGTCAAGACAGGGCCATCAAGACTGAGCTGCTCCCCATCGCGACCGCTCAGAAGCAAAAATCTGCAAATAACACTACATCCATTACTCTCTCAGGTGTGCGTATTGAGTTAGCTCAAACAGTGCGGTACCTGGGTGTCTACCTAGATGGAAGACTAACTTTTGAAAGTCATATTAACATGCTATGCAAGGCGATTTTTCTAGAGCTGCGCAGGATTAGTCACATCAGGCCCTTCCTAACAATTGATACAACAAAGAGGCTGATGTCTGCATTTGTGCTATCACGCATGGACTATTGCAATGCTCTTATGGTGGGTCTTCCAGCTACGCTCCTGGGTAAAATTCAAATAGCACAGAATAATGCGGCTCGCATTGTTCTCCGCAAACGCAAGTTTGACCATGCAAAAACCCTTCTGAGAGAGTTGCATTGGCTGCCGTTGCGTGCTCGCATAGAGTACAAAATCGCAACTTTGTGCTACCGCTGCTTACATGACCTGGCGCCGTCCTATCTGAAAGAGCTGCTGACGTCTTATGTACCCAGTAGAGAGCTCCGCTCATCCGATAGTGGCAAACTCTCGACACCACGTGTTTGCCTTGAGACTTACGGAAAGCGCACTTTCGCATTTGCTGGTCCAACAATTTGGAACGCCCTTCCTGTCGATCTTAGAAACAACCAGACACTGGAGTCCTTTAAAACCGATCTAAAGACACATCTATTTCGCAAATACCTTCTGGGATGATTGTCTACCTTATTTTCCATGTGTTGCTGTGTTGCTCCGGGTTGAAATGGCTAGAAAGACTTTGATATTGTATGCTTGTAATTAGTTTTTGTAGTGTTGCGTTTGTTTTAAATGTGGTGAATTATAGATATTTTTTGTTGACTTTGTACCGCGCTTCGAGCCTTTGGGGATGAAGCGTGTTTTTGAAATGAACTTTATTATTATTATTATTATTATCTTTACAGCATTGGGGGCCCTGGGCCAAGTAATGCACTCAGGCCCCCTATCTCTCTATATACCTATGGCCGTTCGAAGGAGGGGGCGAGAGGGCCAATAACCCCTGGTGCCAAAATCAGAGGGCACCAAAGTTGTCTTAAGATAGGCCCTTAATAGTGAATTAAACTATAAAATCCCATGTACTTCACATTGACAGGGGTGCGTTTTGCCCAGATTCTTTCGGTGAAGTGGGGATAACATTTCAGGTTTTTGAGGTGGGAGCATTTCAATGTCCACCATATATAACCATAAATTCATTCTGGTAGTTGAGCCCCCTGAGGGTATAATTTTAGCCCCAGCTTCGTTTTGCCCCTGAAATCTATATAGTCCTAACTATACAGAACTTAAGGTAAATGATAATTTTGTCAGTTCAAAAAAGTAATTGCTATTATTTACATCCAGTGCTATTTTTTAGCAAACAAAACTGGTGGTAAGGTTTGGAGAGGGGTCTTAGTAAGCTCCTCCCCAAAATATTTTGGATAAATTCAAAATGATGGGATTCATTTTGGCACATGTATAAATTAAATATTGCATCATTCTACACTTAACCGACTAGCAACAGAAAAAATGCTAGTTGAAATTTAGGTTTCCTTGACCATGCATGGGTTATATAATTCCTTTCATTTTTAGTTGTATCTAAAGAGTAATGGTGTTTCATAATTTTATTTTGAAACTATTATTTGTTTTAAACTATTTCATCAATGAATTAATTTTTTTTTTAAACATCGAAACAGTTGTTCATTAGAAAAATCACAAGAAACAAATTATTAATATAATAATTACCATTTTGTTTTTATTTAATGCTTACATTCTTCCATAATTTATAATGAACTATATATAGTTGTTTTTTTTAAATTGTATCTAAATGGTATAAAAAAGAAGAAAAGAATTATTTACAAAAGACATATGATGTATAATTTATCTGTGTGAAGATGAAGCAGCATGAATTTCCAAACAAATGCAGTAACTTATAAGGTTTATATGGAATTTCTGTTATTAATTTCTTCATTTACATGACTAAATGATGAACTTATGGCGCCTCTTCTAAGACTCAATGATTTACTCCTCTCCACCACACACAAAAATCCCTGGATTTTTTTTCAAAGGGACAATTTATCAAAAGAAAGTTTTTCTAAAACAAATACCAAAAAATTAAATTGATGTGATAGACAAACGGCCCCGAGGCCCTGGGCAAGTGCCCATGCCTTAAGCTGGCACTGGGTCAAGGTAAAGCTACCACTAAGTACACTAGCACTACCGGTAACTCAACATTGCTCCGCATTCAATGTACAAAATTCTATCAAAGCTAGCACTGACCTGTGGATAAGTCAACTCTGCATCTTTAAATGAAGTGCAGGCCTACTAATGAAATTTCTCAACTTATAGACGAGTTTATTTATTTATTTAGGCATTTTTATATGGCGCTTATCATAAAGCTCTAAGCGCTTTACAATTATTAAAACATGTAAACTAAGTAAATACAAATGAGACACTAGGATAGTAACTACTATTCTATAGAAACAATGAAAATGGCTATAAAAAGGGGACACTTTGACACTTCTGGATTAAACCGAAACAGAAAATTAGGTAGGGCAAGGAGGGTGCATCACAGGTCATAGGCGGACCTAAACAGATGAGTTTTAAGGGACTTTTTGAAAATGGACGAGGTTTCACTATGACGTATATGGAACGTGGGCCCATGGAAGCAGAAGGAGCGTTCACCGATGGTCTTAGTTTTAGTTCTTGGGATTGAGAGGGTTCTACTGTCAATGGAAGAACGTAGTTGTCTTGTGGGGATGTAAGGAAGCAACAGTTCATATGGTAAATTCAAAATCATGGTCATTTTGCTGTGTACTTCTATTATACCGGTACTTAACTAAAATCTATGAATAATATGATTTATTCAGCATATTATTTTAACATATTATTACAGTTTCTTTTCTTCTTTTTTTTTTTAAATTTCTTTTTTTTAAATAAGTCACATTTTATATAAATATAATCAATAATGTTAATTATTTTTTGTATTTTTATTTGACTATGTTTTTGGTTTTATTTATTTGAAAACAGTTCACACTGCAATAAGGTTGTTTTTTTGTTTTTTTTTTAAGAAATATTTATTATTCAATTACTGGAAATAACTGCCCCCCTTAACAGTTCACACCTGCTTCTTAATTTGTAGGAATTATACTGGTTGTGGGTTGCAGTAACGTGTAAAATATTATCAATGGATCACAATGGTTAAAAGGTTGAGAACCGCTATTTTAAAGCCTATTCCAGAGGTCCCCAAACTTTTTTTGAGTCACAGCGCACTCCAGAGGCACCCTATGTCAAATATTAATCAGTTCACTCCCAAGTAGCAAACAAAAATTGTTTATTTGCACTCTCACTGTTTAGAAAAACCTATTCATTTTTTAAACTACAATTGACAAGAAAAGCTTCAATAACGTAAATTGACTTAATAACAACAATATATTCAGTTGATTCAATCCAATACCTAGAAATTATTCAACATAGTATTACTACGTGAAACTGAATGTTTATTATATAGGAACACAAAGTATCAAGTAAGTTGGAGAAACTACTAAAACAGTGTATAAACTTAATTATTGTAGATTGCCATCTAGTGGCTATTTGTAAAGTCTTCTGCAAACAGTTATTACTGTAATTTCTAAGTGGGCAAATTTTTTAACATTTCACGGTGCCCCTCAGAGGAAGCCCCAGGGCTCCATCGCACACAGTTTTGGAACCTCTGATCAAAGCCTATCACATACCATCGCATTAGATAGGATTATGGCATACCGATCTAAAACAATTTAAATTTTATAAAATTACTGGCATACACACTTGAAAGTACACAAATTTAAATACAAATTATGTAAGTTATCCAACATTAACAATTATAAGTTATCCAACATTAACAATAATGCCTTTATTGTAAAAAAAAAAAAATATTTGTATGGGACCTTTTGTGCCAAGTTTAAATTTAAATATTATTTTGTATGATTTTAGTCACAAGAAGTTGATGAAACCATCAGAAGAATCCAGACGCACAAAGGAGTAATGGGAGTTATCATTGTAAATAACAATGGTAAGTAGTAATAGTTGAGAAAACAGCAACAATTTTCTTTATTGTTTAAAATATTTTTTTTTTCAATTATCTTTTACTACTTGAAGTTAACATTTGTAATTTTCTAAAAACGTATTAATTAATGTATTGCCATTTACTTCAATTATTTACTTAGTCTAAATGTCTATACAAGTTCAGAAAAAAGTCTAAATGTCTATACAAGGTCAGAAAAAGAATGTTAGAGGTTTGGATGTTGTTGTTTTTTGTTTTTTTTATACAAAAGTTTATCTGCTTCTTAGATAAAAGAACTCCCAAACTTACAATTATTACAAATTAATTTCTGACTTATTATGTCAATATTTCCCCAGGTGTGCCTATAAGATCAACACTTGATAACACAACAACAATTCACTATGCAAGTCAAATTCATGGTCTGGCTGCAAAGGCCAGGTCTGTTATTAAAGAAATTGACTCTACCAATGATCTCAGGTTTCTCAGAGTGAAATCTAAAAAACATGAAATACTTGTTGCTCCAGGTATATAACATAGTCAGATTTGAGAAAAGTTTTTATTTACACTACAAGAGATTTTAGTTTTTAAATAAAACAAACTGCCACTTAATACTTTATGGTTTCAAATCTTATGATTTATGTTAAGAAATGGAACCTGAATTTTTTTAAAACATTTTAATAAGAAAAAATGTATAGTTTTAAATAGTAATTTTTTAAGCTTGACTTATCTAAGTCCCAACTTTACCCTCTGTTATATCAGGGGTCTCCAAACTTTTCATCCCGAGGGCCGCATTGACTGTCAAACAGCAGTTCGGGGGCCAACTATGCACCCGAAGTTCAAATAAAAAGATTATTTATTTAATATTTATTTGATTCAGTTATTATCACATGGATAAACTACACATGAACACCTGTATTAGTGGGAATGGTGAAATTGTTTCTTGTTCCAAAGATTGAAAGGTCTCTTGATGCAAAAGATTTGACATTGGGAAAGTCTTCCTTGGGCAAAAACTGGTAAAAACCCACCAGTCCTTCTTTGAACTTGTCCCTGTGGAGGTCATATCCTTGCAACTCAATGACCCCCAGCTGCAGTTCATCTGGGCAACTGGCCACATCTGCTTCAAATTGGTTTTGAAACAGTCTCACTTCTTCTGCTTTTGAATCCAAGTCATAAAACTGCTGCTGAAACTGCAGCTGGAGATCTTTGATGATCTCACATGCAAATGACGTGGGGAACTACGCTGTTGCTTCAGCCATGAAATCCTTACACTGCTGAAAGTGCGTCAAGTCGTTTGCTTTACTTGTTCCAAAAACATGACGAGTTTGAATATGAAGGCCTTTGGCTGGGTGTAAAGATCATAAACTAGATGTTCCTCTCCTTGTAGTTTTAGTTTCAGAAAATTTAAATGTCTAGTTATGTCTGCAGCAAAGGCCAATTTCCATACCCACTCTTCATCAGACAGTAATGGCTGTGGCTTGCCTTTACTTTCCAGGGAGTCACCTATTTCCTTTCTTAACTTAAATACTATGCTGAGAACTTCCTTACCACTTAGCCATCTTACTGCTGTGTAATATGGTAAATCTTGCGATTCAGTGACTGTATCTTTCAACAGGTCTCTGAACTGTCTAAGGTTGCGCCTATGTGACCTTTTTAATTTCACCAGCTTCACCACAGGATTCAGTACACTGCTAATGTCCACATATTTAGCACACAAAGCTTGTTGGTGAATAATACAGTGCAGGAACATTGGTTGTAGAATGTTTTTCTCATTACACATCTGCTTCACTTATCTAACCAAGTCAGGCAACTGTGGTTATTCCATCCAAGTTATAATCAGCAAAAGTTTTTTTTCTACTCATTGAATATATCATCTCTGGTAACAGTTCCGTAAATGCTATGTAGGGAAGCCAGCTCTTGTGTTATGTTCATGTCTTTATCCACACCACTAATGAACACAAGCAGCTAAGAAGTGGAACAGCTGTCCAGCGATTCATCCATTGCAATTCAAAAATGGCGAAACTTGCTTAAATTTTTCGCTATTTGAGTCACAATGTTTTCACCCATGTCTGCAATACGGCGAGCAATAGTATTTGCACCCAAAGCTACATTTTCAAATTGTTTTGACTTTTCTGGGCAAAGTTCCTCAGCACCACCAACAAAAATTTCTTCACCATCTGTAAACAGTTTGCCACTTTTAGCTAGGACGTAGGCAAACTTATAACTGACCTTAGTTAACTCTTAGAGTCCGTAGGTCAAATCCACATGCAGTCATTTTGTTGTGATAAAATTTGATCCTAGGTGACCAAAGACAAATTTTCATAACTTATCTAGTTTTATGCTATTATAAAATGTAATATACCAAAATGTACAGAGCTGAATGGGCTGTGTGAAAATTATAATAGCTGTACTTGAATGACAAACATTAAAGCATGACAGAGCAAAACTTAATGGTTCATAAAAATATGTATTTAAAAGTTTTAAAGAAAAATTGCATCAAAAGCATAAAAACAAATGACCGCTTGTTCAAGTGAAATTTAGCTCGTTTAGCCTTAAAATAAATGAACTTGTGCATAACATATGTAAATTTGATCAATATTGGATGAAAAAATGCATTATTTGGGGCAATTTGAAATCTACAGGTCACATACAGAAAAATAATTAAGCAGCAAATAAGGTTTTGCAATGTAGTGATCGGTTGGAAAACATAGCGCACTACAATGCGCCTCCATTTTAATTCAATAAAAACATAACATCCACGTAAGCGGCAGATGATCTTGGCAGGATACACATAAATTTCTGTAATTTTTTTCCGTAGACAAAAAGGTCTCCACGGGACGGATGAGAGGGCCCCGAGGGCCGCCTGCGGGCTGTAGTTTGGAGACCCTGTGTTATATAATCACTCATTTTTATTATTTAAAAATAATTTTTAATCTTGACTTTAGAATGATCATGTGATAAAGTTATGGACTTATTCCTTCATGTTTCATACATTTCAGAGCAAGATTACTCTATGATTGTGATCCAAAAAGATGTGTATTGATGAATTTAACACTTAAACTTAGCAATAATTTGAATATTATGTGCAAACTTGCAACACTTGCCATCATTGCTTATGCCTAATAGATCGATTGGGCTTCAAATTGGTTGTGGACACTTAAGTTTCTCAAGTTTATTATTTGCTTCAAGGTGTTTCAGGAAGAAATACTACATAATTGAGTTCAATTGGCATGGCTCAATTGAGTTCAATTGGCATGGCTCCAGTAAAGATAATATTACATCTACTCTGTTTAAAGAAATATACAAATTTAGATGGCATTGCTTTAAGAATTGATTTGCATTTTCAAAAATATATTTCATGTATGGTGAACACATTTTATAAAGTACCATATAAAAAAAAATTTTGTTTAAAAAAAGTTCAAGTTGTGAATTAAGAATCAGGATTATCTGTACTGTAGTTGTTTTGTTTTTTCCCATGAATAATTTGATGCAATTTTTTTCTAAATGATTTTTTGTCAACAATGGCACCTCCCCCATTGATTTTATTTGGTCTGTGATATTCACAGTGTTGTTTTGTGTTCAAATAGTGCATTCCTTTGGAGATTACTGTTTCCTTGTTTCCAATGAATTATTTATTTGTGCTTTAAGGCTTTAATGTAGCCAGAGAAGTTAAACTTGTGTTTAATATTACATAATAGTCCTTATAAATTTCTTCTTCGTTTTTTGTTACCATTATATTTGAAAGAGCTGATAAAAAGCATAATGAACTCAATTATTAATGTGCATTTTGTTAAAAATTTTCGCAGATACTAAATATAGTTTAGAGTTATTTCACATTTTAATGTTAGGTCAAGAAGATGCCTATGATGGGAAATATTTTAAATTCTGACTTTCAAAATGTCATATGAGGAATTTGTTTTTATATTCATCAGTTTAAATAATTAGCTTCTATAAACACTTTTTGAGACTAATAATTTCTTTTTAGGATATACCCAAAACTAAAAGCTGTTTCTCTCTCTTTTTTTTTGTAATGGGTCCACTCTTAACAGTTTTTGAAAATCTAAAATATAAAAGGAGTAATTTAAATTTGCAATATCATTGTTGAACAAAAACTTCATTAATTTGTTTGCGTTTTACACATTACAAGTAGATATATGCCATGTTATTCAGAGCATTAAAAATATATTTTTTTTTTATAAATTTACCCGCTTTCACTAATTTATGGGAGTGCAATCTTCAATAATCTATGGATGTGCTATTTAAATGTCCAATCTACATGAAGGATTGCTCAAGATATTGTAGATTTTCATTTATATTTATACTATTTTCTTTTTTTCAGATGCCAGTCAATGAAAATATTAATTGATATAATAATATGTGCTAGATATATTATAATACTAAAAATGCTGGTCTTTATTGATATGTATGGTTTATTTTTGCATTGAAACAGTTTTTTTTTTTTTTTAAACCAGTGTCTAATATATGAAGGGCATCGTCTCTTATTGAACTTAACTTCTTATCTTATGTAAATGTTATTATTGTTAAAAAAAAAAGACTTCCATACATAGCATTGTTAATGATTAGCTTTTGACATTAGCAGTGTACATTCCATATCAGTGTTATCATACAGAAATTCTGACTTCTAAATTTCCCATTTAAATATTTTTGTAGATAAATGCAGTTTAATATTTCGTCTAACTTAGCCATGTAACATAAATCCTCTATTGCTATAATTTTTGAAGATGGAAATCATATTTGTTGCAAGATTGCAATTTTTCTGTTTATAAGGTCTGTATTAAAATTTGTAAGTTCAAACTACATTATTTTATAGTTGAGAGCAGATAAACTCTCACCCTTTTATATGTTATTTACCAATGCAATAATATTGACTGTGTTCAAATTAACAAGAGAATTATTCATTATAAATTATATAAAATGTATTGCCTTTTCCCAAAATCGCAAGAATCATTGTTTCTGGAATGTTATACACATAAATTAACATATACATAAAATAACATATACACCCCTCTAAATTGTTTTAGTTATTGTGCTCCTTTATCTTCTCTACCTAGGTGTATTTTTGGATTTTTGAGATAGGCAGACCAAGACTTTTCTGTCTCAAATGCTAAAATTCATTAGTTGTTTATTGTAGTATGTGAAATGAGAAACAATGAAAGAAATTTCAAGGATTTTTTAAATGGTTTTCTTTTATATTAAAATTCAAAGTGTTCAGTTTGTGTGTTTCTATACTTATAAGAGCAGATAGTTTATTTAAAACTGAGGCTGCAGATTTTAGACAAGATTTTCTTCCGATTCTTTTGTCATGTATAGCAAGCATTCCTTTGTCTACATTTGCACGTATTATCTATTAAATCTACATTATTTTTAGGCATGGTCATATTATTAAGGTGGGTAGAATTTTATATTTCTTAATGATAATAAAGTTGAAGTGTGCTTGTTATATTTAAATGAGTTTGTTAGTTGTTTTCTGTTGCTGGTAGGACAAGGTCAGACTGATTAAAGAGGGGTCCAATGCTTTAAGTGATGAGAAGCTCCTAAACACACAGCCAAGACAAATTTGAAACCAGACATTTCCCAAACACAAAAACCCAATGTCATTACCGGGTACCTTAAGAAAAAGAACAAACGAATGCGATGTATGATAAATGCATATCTTTATCTTTTGCAAACAAAAAGGAAACGATGCATCATATTCATTCAGTGATATTGTTTGGTATTTTTGCTTAGCATTCAAAGTAAATGTTGATGGAGTGATTTTTTTTAAAAGCATAATTAGATTGTTTTGTTGAAAGTTTAATCTTTAAACCATAGATGAATCTGAAATGAGTACCTACATTTGCATGAAAAATCAAATCCATTGTTCATGCTGAGTGAAAATAAATTTTTTTAAATTTATTTTACCACGTTTAATATTAATATATTTCTAATTCATTTTTATAAACTCAAAAGAAATCCTATGTGAAAATTAAAATGTTTAATTGTTTTATTTTATGCATCTTCTAAAAATAATACTCCAAGCAACTATTAGACATTTTAGTAAATTTTTTTAATTATGTCAAAAATTTATTAAAAGAGAGAGGAAAATGATTTAAGTAAATAAAAACATGAATAAAAATTAAATTTGCACACAAATTTTAAAAAGGAGAGTTTTTAAAATCTATGCTTTGAATCAAATGTGATCTAAAGAAAAATATATCTGGCAGTGGCAGTTTACCAAGCACAAAGTTAATACACTGGACACAATAGCATATAAAAACAAAATCTAAATTATGTCAGCACCAATTGTTATTCAGATGCTAGTGAGTGTTAAAATGTCTTTTACCAAGGTCTTGAACAGGAAGGATATTTGAAAACTATAATGACTTGGCATTTCAGGTTCTAATAATTCCGAAAACTCAAAATATTAACTTTTACATTTTATGCTAATAAGTCTTTACACAATTAAGTAATTATTAATACTTCATATTTTTTTATTTCAAACCTTCATATCTCAAAATAAATTTTTCTTAAACATACTTCGCCAAGAGAAAAGTGTTTTGTCTGTTAGATTTTTGTTTTGTTTTGTTAGAGGGTTGTTTTTTTTTTTGGTTAGACTAAGCATTATTATGAAATTATTGATATATATCCTTTTTAAAAAAATTAAAGCTAAACACGAGTTACGTTCAAGATGATAAAACAGAGAGAAAAGAAATTGGTCTTATCTTAGTCATTCCAATAAATAAAAATAAAGAGCATATGAAAATATCCTGGAATAAACCAAAAATGAAATGTTTCAGATTTTGGGTAGAGATTATTTTTTTCTAATTGGGTGGGTCTTAACATGACAGTTAAAATACAGCAATAATTATTATATAGCCATTTCATTTATTACTCATGTTGTTGTAATTATGCAAGCGTCTAAGACAGTGAATGTAATGGTTATATTTCAAGGTACTTTATTTAAAACTAAATTCACCATTTCATTTAAGTAAGGTAAAACAAATTTAGTATTATGAGAAAATATCTATTGGCAATAAAATTTCTTTAATAAATTTTTGCAGCATAAACATAACATACAATCTGTCATATTCCTACTAGGTCAACTTTCCTTTCTTACAAAGGTGCAACCATTAAGCAGTAACAAATTATTCAAATAATAAAAAGTTTAAAACTATATCACATTCAATCTTCTATCAAGAAAGTGCTTGTCTCTGACTTTTAAGTGCAAACACTAACAAAATAGTCAGGGATCAAACTAAATAAAATTTTAATTAAAGCCAGAAGAGAAAAATTCACTATGATTTGTAATTACTTATTGCCTCCTAGTAAGTTGTTTTTTTTGTTCCCAAAAATATATATGGAAGTACAGAAACAAAATTCAAGATGTTAAATGTAACATACAAAGTTTCAGCAATGAAAGCAGCAACAAGTACTAGCAATAAATAGTCTTTCATAACAACAGCTCACATATTTTTTGCTCACAAGTATTGTTTTAACTAAAGAAAATTTTTGATTTACTTAAGTGTGCCACAAGACTAGAGCAAATACTAAGATTCAACTACCTAGGATTAATGGGCCATTCATAAATGACATCACTAAATTTTGGTAAATTTTCAACCCTTCCATTGTACACCCTTGTCAAAAATGTGTGAACCTAGACATTTTAAATTATTTATGAATGGCCCCTGAGCTGAACTTAGAAAAATTGTGGTACTAAGATATTGAAAACCATCAAACAAACAATATTCATGTCAAAAGTGATAAAAATAGTTATTAGAATAACCAGAAGTGTGTAACTACAGGAGTAATGAAATTATTAGCTTTGAAAACAAATACATAGGAGTAAAACTAACAAGAGGGTTTAAGCACAAAAGAGCTGTCAATAAAATATAAGTTTGATTCTTTTTTTGCTTAAAAGTCTTTAATTTTTTAAAGAACAAATGCTTATATATATGTGTGTGTTATATTTTCAACAATTCTTCCATTGGCAAATGTCATCTATAGGACATATTTTTTAATATATATAATAACATTACGAATGGAAAAAGTTTTTAAAAAATCGTTTTGTGCTCAACTATGTGAGTTAAAAAATTAATAATGTAAAATTTGTCTTAAGTCAGTATCGGTATTTTAACACAGCAGGGCGACAACACAGGATGGCTGGATTTTATGTTTGAAAAATGACTTTAACATTGCATTAAGTTTAGTTTGTTAATCTGCGTTTTTTGTTTACTTTCTTTTTTTTTTTATAAAGTTGAAAATGATTCTGTGCAATGAAATTAAGAGTAAATTTCATTTGTTTGGATGAGTAAAAGAATCATATCTTGTCTTATGGGGATACACAGTCTAAGCTATAAAAGAGGATTTAAAAAATCAGAAAATTGTCAAAGTTAACAGATAAATTCACTCAGGTCTGAGTAAATATTTTATTATTTTTTATTCACATCCATGAATATTCTTGCATAAGAAATTAGTAATGATGGCTCTTTTATAATCTATGGGTATTACCATACATGACCAGACAGTTTTTGATGTTGGAGTACAGGTTTTGGGGGACTTTTTATAATTGAGACTGGCATGTATGGTATTACAACAAAATAGGAGATAACATTACTAGTCATTATTACATTTTCCAGGTAAAGAATGTTACAGATTTTACCATATAAAAAAACAGCTCCATTTATATTTAAAAATATTACGAAGGGGGAAAAAAAAGGATAATTGCACACAAAAATCAGTCTAAGAAGTCTTCAAAAATAAAATTTTACATTTATCTTTAAATTCAATCATATCAGGCAAAAGCAAGTTAAATGAACATTTTCACTTAAATACAACTTAATTCTTTACAATTAGTATTAAAGGTGACACTTAATTGATTTACTATAGTAACATTGTAATTAACTATAACACCCAGGCATAGATGAAAACAACTGTGTGATATTATTTTACTGTTAGGTGCAGTTAAGATCTGCGTTCCCAAATGGACAGTCAGGCTTTTGCCATGGATGTCGGAGGATTAACCTAAGATAATACATAAGGTGAAAACAAGGTTAATTCAACTTCAATCTCTTTGGACCATCTTCTTCATCTTCTTCCATTGCTATGCCATTGTTGACAACTACACCAGATGGACCAATCAACCGTAGAAGTGAGTTCAATGAGCGGTCACCAAACAGAGCTGTGAGAAGTGCCACACCATAGCCAGTGGCTCTCTCACCCTTTAAGAGTATGAAACAAAAGGTGAAATGCAATTATAACTTATGAATTAAATTTAAATTACAAAAAAAAAGTTGTGTTTTAAAATGTTTCATTTGTTCCAATATTAATGCTGTCACTATGATGAGATATAATCTTAACAGCATGTTTTATGTTTAAGAAAACTTTACTGAAACCTTGATCTACGATAGAACAAAAACTAAGACTAAAATTCTTCAAGATTAACATGTATTTTTAGGGGCACTCACAGAGTAAGCAGGAGATGCAATATCAACATGAAGCCAAGCACCAGGGTAATCCTGACCCAGGTGGGACATGATAAACAGGCCAGCACATGATACTTGAGCATTCCCTCTGTCCTGTGAGTTCAAGGATAAAGGTTTTAGAAATCACATCCATAAATCTGATTTAATTTGTATACTTATAAAACAAATATTATAATGGCCTGTTAAACATTTTTTTCTACATCAAAATATATTTATCATGAAATTATTTATTTAAATTATGTAAATATTTTAAAAATTTAATCTAACATCAACACCTTTTTTACTAACAAAGAAAAAGTACAACTGCGCTGAGTGTGTAAATTCTTCACGAAGGCTTCAGGCCAAATGGCTACTGGATCTGAATGATGATGATAAATCTAACACATGACATCTCTCAAGAAGAAAAAAAAAAAAAAAACTAATTCTCCATATTGTCCTATAACAGTGATGAGTGATATTACAGCTCAACTTTAGTCATTGAGATGTTGGTAATTATGAAGATTTACCCAGGTTGGTCATGAATGTTTAATGTAAGTTTTTAATTGGTGCATAAAAAAAACATCTTTCCTATGGACGTTGCGTAAGAAAGCTTTGCTCATTACATGAGAACATTGTGTTGAGGGTTAATTTACAAGGTGGGCGACCTTTTTCCAAAACTAGCCACAGTTGTGGCAAGGAAAGTAAAATTGGTCCCACTAGATCTAACCCATTAAACACTACCATTAAACCAAATGACAGTAAATACTGCCCCAGGTGGCACCTCTGCTAGTCAGGAATTAATTTGCATCCAATTAATTTTTTTAAGTTTTCAAGCCATCTTAATTCTTATAATGTGGCTAGCCATTAAGAGTGGACCAGATTCTGTGGCTAGCCATTGAGAGTGGACCAGAGTCTGTGGATAGCCATTGAGAGTGGACCAGAGTCTGTGGCTAGCCATTGAGAGTGGACCAGAGTCTGTGGCTAGCCATTGAGAGTGGACCAGAGTCTGTGGCTAGCCATTGAGAGTGGACCAGAGTCTGTGGCAATGCTGTT